AATGTACTTAATGCCACTAAAATATACACTTAACATTTATTAAAATGGTATATTTTGTTATGTGTATTTTACCACAGTAAAAAAATAACTTTATTCTCTTCTCTGTTCCATCTCTAACCTTTCACACTCTGTGGCATTTTTTTCTCTCTCAGCAAACAAAATTCCTTCAATATCAGCCAAATTGAAAATATCCTTCTTGAACTTTCCACCCTGCCTCTAGTTCCCATCCTACCAGCAATGGTTGTATACACACAGAGACACAAAATTTTAGACTTATCTGCCATTCATTGTTGAGATCACTTGGCCTCTGCTTACACCTCTCCACTGAACCTTGCCAAGATGATGAATGGCTACCAATTGCCAAATCTCCAAATCTAGTGGACACTATTCAGTCCTCACCTCTCTGGACTTCTCAGCAGTATTCCAGGCCAACCAATCAATATTTCTCTCTCACATCAATATTTCTCTCTCTCTCTCTCTCTCTCTCTCTCTCTGTATGTGTCTTTCTCTCAACATAACTCGGGTGAAGATTACAATAAAATGTATGTTACATTGTGTCATTTCCGCTTAAAATGACTTGGTTTCTCCTCTAACACTCTTTAAATCTCCCAATTTCCTTGACTAGCTTCTCTGTTCCTTGAATTACTAAGGAATGACCTACTGTCACTCTTAGACTAAACTCCGAGCTTCTCTCAGACCTGCACTTTGTGGTCCTTGCCCTTCTTGCCCTCAGGATCCTGTGCGAGTACCTGCTCTGCTCTCATTCCTTCAGCTACTCTGACCTTCTGTCGCTGCCTGGGATGCAACAGGCCTTTCCCACCTCTTGTCCTCTGCGTGTGCTGATTCTTCCACCCACAAGGCTTACCTCCTTTTTTTGCTTGTCTGGACCTCTCGCCCTTGTAGTCTCAGTTTAAATGTCATCTCCTCACTGAGCACTTCCCCAATAATATCCTAGTATTGTCCCTCTTAATACCCTTCATAGCACTTTTTACAACTTACAACTGTGTATGTATGTGTATATATACATATATATATGTATACTTGTTTGCTAACAGTCTCCTCTATTAGAATGTCAATTCCATGAGGTAGTGCCCAATACAGTACCATACCTAAGTACTATTTCACGGAAGAGATGCCTAGTAAATATTTTTAAAACAAATTCATAAAGGAGCAAAGAAGAAAGCTAGCAAGCTAGTTTTCCATAAAGCTGTTTCATATAACCTCTCCATAGAAATGAACAGGGACAGGTGTTTTAAGCAAGCTTATAATTCATGAAAATCTAAATTTACATAAAGGGTATGTTGAAAGGTGATTTTTCCACTTTACAAAAAGATCCATCATAAAATTCTTTAAACAGGCTTCCCAGGTACATGGAACATAAGATTTTATTGATTGAAACCATATGTTCACACAGAATTCTTCAGGAAAATATCTTTTATATAAAACAAGGTTGACCTGTAAGCAATTTCCTTAAGGCATCTAGCCCAGAATGGCCAATCTCAAATTTCCGAGGTAATAGATAATGGGAGGCCTGGAATGCAGTGGATATTTGAAACCCTAGAATGCAAAGCAGTCATTTCAGCCATTTAGGTTCCTCATGAATTTTCTTACAAAAATAGCTAATGGGGAAGTGAATCAAGGTATCCGAATCTCCCCAACGCCTCTTCCTGTGTGTCAGGGAAAGTAAGAATGGCTGTGAAATGACCCCCAAAGAGGCTGCTTTGGAAAGCAGAACAAAGGCTTGTAAAATTCATCCAACTGATGCTTTTCTTCCAACTCCCTACCACCACCACCACCACCACCGATAATTAAGTTGTCTGATTGCAAAACTGGAATAAAGAATTATGTGTGTTAATATATAAAATGCAGTTAACTTCTCTGGCTCTTAATTTCCTCATCTGAACAATATGAGAGTCCTTTTAAAGATTATTGTTTTATAATTCTGTTCTTGAACCTACCCAAACTTTACAAAATAAAGTAATGTGTGACTGTTCTCTCTGGTTAATGAAATAAATTTCTCAGCTATTTCTGCCCTTCTTGTTGGAAACTTTAGTAAATGATCATGAACTGTGATTCAAAACATTTATAATACTTGTGGAATTGGTTGATTTGTTTATGACTAATGATTCTTGCTAAGAAGAACTTGCTTTGCAGAATTTACTTACAACCAACCTTTTCTTGACCAAACATGTTCCACTAGGGTGGGAGTATAGTAAGCTATTCTCAAGCTGCAGTAAAATTGAAATACTTTAGCTGCAGGAAGAAAAAACACTTGACTGGTTGTGGTAATAAAGATCAAGGTATACTAGGGCATAGGTTAGTTTTACCCTTCAAAAACAAACTACTTTTGTCTCAGAAAATCCATAACCTTCAAATTTAGAAGAAGATATTTAGGACACAGAGAAAATATCTATAGAGTTTTGGGCAACATTTTTTCCCTTATCAACTTCCTGAAGCATTATTCTATCCTCCCCACAATTTTTATTTTTTGCCCAAATATTACTATATCTGATGACATTTTGAGGGAAAATTGTTTCTCTATGTGATGTACTAAGGTGTTCTTTCATTAAGAATTTTAGAGTAATAATGTTGACTTCTAAGACTTTTCTGCATGAGTCTGAAAAACTAAAGAATATATTAATGGAAACACACATTATTGAGATATCTCCTGCTTTGTAGGTTTAAGAGAGACCTTGACTATATCAGCAAATCTCAATTATATTTGAAAGTTAATGTTCTTAAATTTTGTATTTTTCTTTCTTCCTTATTTACGTCTATAAATGATATCAGGTCATTTCTTCATTGAGGGAAAAAAATTAGATGCAGAAAGGAAGGCAGGAAAGAGAGAGATAGGAAAAAAGCTGGGGATGATGGCGTTAAAGCTGATACTTGATCAACCAACATCCCAAAACTAGGCTGAATACAGAGGGAGAAATGCAGTAAGAGCAGAAGCCGATAGAGAGAGAGAGCAATGGGAAGAGAGAAAGTTCATAAAAGAGAATTTATTAATTGGAATTAGAAATTGCACAATATGCAGAAAAGTCCAAATTGGGAGAGACTCTGAGGAAAGTAGGATGCATTTGTATTCTGATAACAACAAGAATGTAGATATTAGTGGTGATGTCTTCCATGTGCGATACTTAGAGCTGCCACTTGACTAACAACCTCTGCTTTGTTTTTGTTTTTGTTTTGTTTGTTTCTTAATCCTCACCTGAGGATGATATTTTTTCCATTGATTTTTAGAGAGAGGGAAAGACAGAGAGAAATATCGATATGAGAGAAACAAATTGATTGGTTGCCTCCTGTACACCCCCAACCAAGGCCCGAGCCAGGGAGGAGCCAGCAACCGAGGTATATGCCCTTGACCGGAATCAAACCTGGGACCCTTTGGTCTGCAGGCCAGCGCTCTATCCACTGAGCCAAACCTGCTAGGGCACAACCTCTGCTTTAGATTGAAACACAATCTAGAAAAAAACAAATATAACCCATTTGCATGAAATTCAGAGTTCCTTACAAGTTTATAAGCCAGGTCCTCATGTGTGGAGATTCTGACTCACTGTGCATTTGTCAGGAGGTTGGGGTCAGAGAGCGGGATTGGTGGGGGTGAGCCAGTCAGCCCAAGAATGTGTAATTTGAAAAATGTCCTTAGTCAGAGTGACTTTTCTTTTTCTGTTTATCAGCAGAACATCAAGTCTTTTTATTTTTTATGTGTGTTGATCCCAAGACCATGGGAGACTGCTTCTGAAGAAAATATTTGTTGGGAAAAATGTCTGTCATTTAAGAATGTGTCCTGCTAATAATTTAATAGCTTTTTTATTTCAAATGTGCAATTTTATTTTCCTCAAAATGCTGAGGAAACATACTGTTCTTTTAAATGGAACTCTAGTTCACTGTTGACAGGGAATGTAAATTGCTACAGTCACTATTGAAAACAGTATGGAAGTTCCTCAAAAAATTAAAACTGGAACTAACGTATGACCAAGTAATCCAGAATCCATTATATTCTGGATATATATCCAAAGGAATTGAAAGAGGATCTTGCAGAGATATCTGCATTTTCATGTTCATTGCAGCATTAGTCACAATAGCCAAGATATGGAAACATCCTAAGTGTATTATCAACAGATAAATGGATAAAGAAGACATGGTATATACAAGGTGGGCCAAAAGTAGGTTTATAGTTGTGAGTATGCAAAACATAGTTTATTCTTGTATTATATATTAATTATTGTACACCTTAAATTTACACAATGTTATATGTCAATTGTATCTCAATAAAGCTAGAGAAAAACATAAGGTATCATATGTGCCATTGTGTCCAGTTAACAACAAATGTGCCTGACACCAAGGAGTGCTCAGAGCACACTCACCCTGGGCTGACTTAGGAAGCCTGTGGCTATGTAGGAGACTAAATGTGCTGAGAAGGAAAGAGAGCTGTGGAGGAGGCAACCCAAGTTCTAACCCCAGCCCTGTATGGAATTTGTTATGTGGTCTTGGTCAAGGCCTAAGGCCTCTCAGAGCTTTCAGTTCTCCATCTGTAAAATGACAGTATTAAAGTAGGTGTTCAGTAAGGTCCCTTGCAGCACCATCGTTATATTATCCCATGAGTGTAACCTTAAATGTGCATGCCACTTGGAGCTTTGGAGTCCTGTTTCAGAGGTTGGTCAGGTTTTACTTATATTTGAATGATAACCTTTCAGTTCTTTAATCTCTACTGAATTAATGGTTTTACATTTTTGGTCTTTAACCATATGATTCTGTGCATGCTGTACAATCAATATCTGAATGGAAAGAGGGAGAGTAGAAAGAAGAGAATTCAATAACTATGTTATTTGTCTGCTTTCAATATCTTACTTTACTTCCATTTTATGCAAAATGATTTTGTATTACTTAGTATAAAGAATTATGGTTTAATGGACTCATCTCATAAATATATTAAATGTACCATAACAAGAACACTGTTATTGTTAACAGCCATCTTCTCCTTTGTGTTTTACTAGATTTGGAAAGAAGAAAGACGAGAAGAGTGGGAAAGCTGAGCAGAAAGGTCCTGTGAAGCATGGGGGCCTGCGAGAAGAGGAGCTGGAGAAGATGAAAGAGGAGCGGGAAAGGTGAGCAGAAAGGCTGGCCCTGTTGCATGTGAGCCATGGTCTGGGTTTCATTTGGTTATTGCATCCATCAGCTGGAGAAATTTTACTTTAAGAAACACAAGAGGTTGACTGATACAAATGGAAAAGTACTTGATATAAAAGGGGACTGCCTGTCTTGGGGGATTTTTATTATATTTTGAGAAGAAATTAACTTCATGTTTTTTTATATCAATATTTATAATTTCATAATATGCTACTCCTGGTTTTGACTTTATCAGTGTATATTTTCTGTATGGTTTAAACAACCAGTTTTTTTTTAAGTAAAAAAATATCATTTTGATGTTGACGTTTAGAATGATCATATTTCCGTAGTCTGTTCCCAATTTTTGTCAAACTGTTGTATGCCTTCTTAATTTTATTCTGCTAAATCCATTTGCGTACTGTAACTTGAGAAGTACATGTCCTTCATTTTTTAAAAGCCAGTGTCTTTTATTAGGCTATCAGCAAGTTGCAAAGTATGTCGCCCATCTGTTAAAGGACCAGTTCCATTTACTGAAATAATGACAGTTTGCAAGGACTGCATTCTCCAGTTTGAGGAGCTTAATGTTCCCATTTGGACAAGAGGTCCTTCACGTATCTGTGATGTTAACTCTGGCATTTATCCCAAGTAGATGCATAGATATTTGATTTTGAAACATGTGGTAGAATATTTATATTTCTCCATACTTAGTTGCGCCTTTACAACTAAATGAAACTTGGAGAAAGTCTGAGATTTGACAAAACTAGCATATAATTTTAAATATTCAATTCTGACGTCATTGTGTATCAGGTCAGATTTGTCCAACTTTCCACTTGCTTTTTAGTAACTACAGCCCCCCCTTTTTTTTAGAGTTGCTCATACTTATTTTAATACTCTAGCATGTATACTAAGAAAATCATACTTATTCACTGTTTTCTTGCACAGAGCAGACTACGAGTATCTACAGTTAACCTTTGACCCCTATCTTATAGTCTATTCCCATTGGGAAGGCTGACTTTATCAATAGGGAAAAAAAAGAAGAAACGATTTAGTCCTTTCTCATTTTTGAGGAGTTGATAGGCTCCAACCCAGGGTCAGTGGAGCAGTTAGAAGGAAATCAAGTGCATTGCATTGTTGTGGACAATTCGCCTGGCAGAGCTGCCCCAAGGACAAGAAAGACGAATTCTCCAGCATCGCCCAAGCGGCAGTAACCCTGTATATAAAATGTGCTTCGGGCTAAGGTTTTAACGCATGTATTGGCAAAGACATCAGTGTGGCGAGCCCACATCACAGTGTGCTGCTCCCTTGGCTTTACTTACCGAGGCACCACATCCTATGCCTCATCCTCTGGAAACTGAGCTGTTTGCTAGAATGCAGACTTCATATATTTTGTGGCTCAATACTTGCTTGGGGTTGGGGCAGGAGGTGGGGGGAAAGGGGGAGAGACTCATAGTAGCTAGGGAACTGTGTGCCAGCTAGAAAATTGATAACCCATAAAATAAGGTGGGTTGTCTTTAAGCAAGAGTTCATTTCCTTTCTGGTTTTGCTTTTAGGAAGCAGGTGCCTGAGGGAGTTTTGTTCTTAAAGCAAGGCTGTAAATTCGCCTCAGCTGGCTGTATAGGCTTCAGGTCCAATTTTTTAAAAAATATATCTGGTCAAAATATTGAAAGAACTATGCTATTAGCCTTCACTTAGGCCACGTCCCACACATGAACACATAAAACGCATCTGATATGGGTTTCCCAGAGACAACATTGTCTCAATCATGTGTGAGGGGAAGAAGTTGGAGGAGTTGATTTTATGGTTGGGTGCTATAGAATGAATGACCAAGGGCATTTCAACAGCTCAGGGGCCCAGGGCCACAGAGGGTAGAGGTGGGGGCTGAACACTTGGCATTACTCCCAACCCTGGAGTCCCATTTCTTGGCTCTCCATCATCCATAGGAAACCAATTCACAACTCTTAAAGAACTCAGTGAGCCTATCACTCTTCATGGCATGGCCATGGAAAACATAAAGCAAAATAAGAAATAGTGTATACAAGTTCATAAAGTTGTCCTTTTCCCTAATACATTTAGAATTTATTACCTTATGATGTTTCAAGCCATCCTATTGCTTATTGCTTTGTCCTAGATATCGAGTTAGTAGTTTTTCATTAACATATCCCTTTTACAAAGGATTTAAAGCATTTACATAAAATACATACCATACAGTGTTGAAGCCAGCTTGTACCAGCGTGTGAGAGACAATTATTAAGCTTTCAAGAATTCTGTGAGCTAGTTGATAAATCCGTGGTAGCTGGAAATTGGTTATGGTGAGAATGTTTACTACTCCACAGAAATTGGCAAATGCAAAAAGTTTGAGTTTGCTTTTTCAAAGAGGCAGCTTACCAACACACCACTGAGGGGCTATACCAACTCTATTTAGTGAGTACCCAGGAAGAAATTACCAAAAATAGAGGCAAAAGAACACAACACTCATCCAAATCAAAGCACATGACTTTCTATAGAAGCTGAGTTTCTCAAAGTGTGGTTCATGGGCCACCTACATCAGAATGAATCACTTGAGATGCTTATGAAAAATGAAGATTCCCGAGTCCCACATCAGCCGTGCAGGATGAGACCCTTGGGAGTTAAGCCCAGGAGACTGTGTTTAATAGGTGAGCCCAGGTGATTCTTTAGCATTCTCATGTCAGAGGACCACTGACTTGGAGGTGCAAGGTTTGGCTCGAACATTGAACTGTTCTTATTCTATAAAAAACGATACACAGAATTTTTTCCCCAAGAGGATTGAATAACCCAGTCTAAAAATATAGTCATCTTTCTCATGCATCCTCTCTGTAGCAGCCTCCCTCACTGCACACTGTTTTGCACACACAGAGGAACCCTTGCCAGAGTTCATGCCTAAGGGAAGACGGATCACTTTCCCCAGCACCTCCCATGCATGAAAAAACATGGAAAAACTATAAGTTCATTAAGAAAATTTTGGGGGAAAAAAGTGTAAAGAAGACTATTAAAATCATGCATAATTCCATCATAATTTCATTACTACTATAAATATTTGTGGAATCTTTTTACTATGTATATTAATTCTTTGAAAACTTGGTATTCATACAGAATATACAAGGTGTCTCAAAAGATGTACATGCATTTTGAATGATTATAAAGTCAGTGTTCATTAACATACATTCATTTTCAAAATTTAAAAGTATCTATAAAAGTGAATAATGTTTTTGTCAACACCTGTTTTCAAGCTGATGACCGTTCTGGTCCAGGCACTGCTGATGACAGGAAGCAGTAGAATCACAAACAGCAATAATCATTTTGTTGGGCATTTGCATACCCTCAGTTCGTTGACTGTTGTGGGTTTTATACTGTAAACTTTATCTTTTATGTATCCCCATAAAAAAAGCCTAGTGGCACTTTAGGATAAATTTTCTTTGTTCACCCATTATTTCAAATCAGTTAAACCTGAAAAGGAGTAAATATTAAGTGAGTTATCGTCTGTTAAAGTATGTACACATTTTTGCAGATGCCCTATATAGTATCTTACCTTTTTTCATAGCATTATATTATGAGCATTTTCATTGATGTTTTGAAAAATTTACTTATTTGTTTATTTTTTTAATCCTCACCAAGGATATTTTTCCATTGATTTGTAGAGAGAGTAGAAGGGAGGGAGGGAAACATCGCTGTGAGAGAGACACATTGATTGTTTGCCTCCTGCATGCACCCCACCCAGGTATGGGCCCTTGACTGGGATCAAACCCGGGATGCTCTCTCCACTTAGCAAACCAACTAGGGCAAAAATATGTAATTTTGATGACTATCCAATATTCTGTGAGATCAATATACCATAATTTATCTTCTATTGTCAAACATGTAGAGTTTCCAGTTTTCATTGTCCCAAATAGTAATTCCTTGATGAGCACCGGGTACAAAAATTTTTATAGATTTCCTTTTCAAATCATAGAATTGCTGTTTGGAGGCTCAATTTCCCTGTAGCTGTTTAGTTTAAGGATTAATCTAAATTTAATTCTAAATTTTAGGATTATATCACACCTCTCCATTTCTCCCATTATTTTATTATGATTTCCATAACTCACTATTATCTACATATCTAAATTATGATATGAAACTATTTGGTACTATATTACTATATATGAAGAGTTTACTCATAACTATAGCTATGAAACCGTCAAAAAAGCCATAACAGGGGGATTGAGTTACTATATTAGATTGGAAGAATGCAGAGTCCAGAATAGTATTTCTCAGTGGGGGGGTGGAGGGATGGGGAAAGTAATTTTGCTCCCCAAGGAACATTTGGCTGTATCTAGAAACATTTAAATGTCACAGTTTTGAGGGGATAGGAGGCAAGGAAGGAGTTGCTACTTCCATGTCCTGGGTAGGGGTCAGGGATGGGCCTAAGCATCCTACAATGTACAAGACAAGTGACTTGTCCTACACAAACTGTCAGTGTGGAGATTGAAAACCCCTGTTCTAATCTCTGGACTTCACAAAGAGAAGGTACCTTCCTGGACATTAGCATTGATTGTCTCATGATGTCCTGTGGCTAACACAGAGAAATATACACCAGATGACATAACCCTAGAGGGATTATGAGCTATTGGAGAAGCTGTACCCAAGACTGCTAGTGATTCCATCCATATAAGCTTGCAAGAAAAAAAGTTTGTCTCAAATTTTATTTTTAACGCTGGCCTGCTGAGCATTGGCATCAAACGATGGTGCCTGTGGGTCATATTTGAATGCCAAGAAGCTGCAGGGTTCGATAATGTGTCGGATGACAGAATCATCTGGAACAATGGATTGAATCAAACACAAAGAAACTTAATAGGAATAAATATAAAGTCTAGCTTTTAGGTCCAAAACTGAACGGTACAAACACAGGATGTGGAAGGTTTGACTTAATACCAAATATATGAAAAATTTGCCTGATGGTTTTCTTTGAGGGAAAGTTTAGCATGAGTCAATATGAGGATGTGCC